TGATTCATTTAAAGCATACAACTAAGAAAATTACTAAATGCACCTTCTTATGTTTCATTTCAGTTCCAAAATTGGAAATATATCATAAAGAAAAGCAAAATAACCATTAAAAAAATGGCATAATAAACTCATATAGACAATGGATGAGGCTTGCTTGAAAAATTCCAGGCTTCTACAACTTAGCTACCTAACGCAACCCTCCTCCTTTATTCTAACTTGGGACATGCAGTGTTGAATATAACATTGACAAATTTTGCTACATCTAAAAATCTATAATATAAAATAGAGCAAATTTCAATAAGTTCATCCGACGGTTTTAAATAAACTCATTCAACGGTCACAAACATCCCTCTCAAAATTATTCACATTAAATTTTTTTCCTCCTAAATCTATCATTTATCATTTACACTGCATCGTGCCTTCAAACACTAGTTACCTCTAGAATACAAATATAAGATAACTAAAATCCTACGTGGCAAGAATTGATAAAGTGACTTGAGTTATAATAACAAAAATAATAATAATAAACAACTAAGTGAAGAGTTGGGTTAATTTTTGATACAAAATGTCAGCACGACACAAACTAAACGCAAAATTAACGAGTTAAAATTGACAAATTCTTAACACAAACTCGAAAATAACATGACTTAAGAGTAAGAATAATCTAACTAGTGTTGCATAAATAAAATACCAAACAAGAATAATCCAACTAGCATTGTAGGAACAAAATACCAAATTTTGGTATTTTTATCATTTTAAATTAAGCGGATTTGTTCTCTATTTTTAGTCACATTTGGATTTAATCGTTTGTAATTTATTGAAAAACTGGGAGTCATGGGATTAAATTAGAGGTATTTAAATCTTGCTTTTGAATTTTTAATTCCTATAAATTAAGTCAAATATTTCACAATTAATTAAACAAATTGAATTAACGTTGATTAATACTCGATACGAACTTAAAATGACATTCTCCGAACAATTCCACACAGTCTCAATTGCCACTTCTATGTTTATCCCGTTTCCCAAATTGAAAAGAATCATAAAATTCACATGTCATTTGGTGCCTTAAGTTCCAATACCAGGAAGTGGAACTATAAATAGCCTACGAAAGCTCTATAGTCCATACCAGCAATTGGAGGGAAAAATCATACTTTTAACTTATAAATCCTTCGCAACTAGCAAGTGTTCTTGTCATTCCCCTCTCCCTCGCCCCTCCACAGCAACAAAATAGCAATGTATGTTTCAGTTGCCACCCAAAATGCCGCCCCCAATGTTACCCGTCAGTCTGCAAATTACCATCCTAGCGTTTGGGGAGACCATTTTCTCAGATATGCTTCTGACACTACAGTATGAATTAGCTCGTACACTAAGCATTAGTACTAGTTTTTTATTTTTGTTCTATCGTTCTCTGAGTCTCTCGCATTAAAAATTTGGTTGAAGTTATTGGTTGTTAATTTAAATAAATATTATGTAATATATGTATTAAGTTTAGAATAACAAGTCTATTTTGGGCTCTACCCGAATTGAACCCGTAAAATAACCCTAAATTATCAACCTGAATTCAACCCGAGCCCGTCCGAATTAAACTCGGACAGTGCTCAGATTGAGTTCCCCAACCCGAGGTAGAATTAGGATGAAGGTTGAAAATTATATACGTACAGTTAGGCTAGAATTGATTGTCTAACCCGCCCGAATTGCACCCCTATCTGCAATCATCCCAAATAACGGTCAATTATTTCTTCACAAATCTGTTATAAAATTCAATGATTACTGTGTAAAAGGGAAACCCAAAACAAAAAAAATTTAAAAAAAAAATTAAAAATTAAAAATTTTAATTAAAAAAAATATTTTTTTAATCTTAACTAAAAGTGAAAATTTTCGACTCAACACGATGACACGACTCAAAATCGACACGAATTTTATGACACGAACTTGAAAATGACCTGACACTTGAACAATTTTATAACTCAAATCTAACACGACACGACTCGATTGTTACCCCTAATCTTAGACAACATAAAAAAAAATAGTTATTTTTATTTTTCATCCATCCAACCAAACACAAAGGAAGGAAAGTGTATCGTTCCTAACTTTTATCCTTGAATGATATAAAATTTATCCTTCATATTTTCCATCCTTCCTACCAAAAGGAGCATTAGTCTTCAGCAGCGGGAACTACTCTAAAACTTGTAAAATCTTACCTGCTTTCGCTCGCACACTTAACTCACAGCTCATCAACCAATCGTACTTCTCGATATTTAACACCATCGTTTCTTCTGGTTAATCACATTGTTTCAACTCGTTACAATCACAATTCTCCTGTTTTTTATCTTACTCTTTGATCAACCAATCATGGTTAGTACTTGATATAATGGTCAGGAGATAAAAGGACTCAGTATTCTCGACAATATAGAGAGATCTTTAAAATGAGAATCACCTGGAGAAGGTCCTCTGACTTGTTGGAAGTAAGTACAGTATCGAGGAGCAATTTGTTGGATAGAAAATCGTTTCGAAACAGACAAAATCTTACTCAATTTCTCCCAGCGGTCCTTCATTGGCTTGTATCCAAAATCTAATATTTCTTTTCCTTCTCCTTGAAGAACCACTTTTAGTAGCTTCATAGCTCTTAATTAAGTGTCACGCGAAACACCATAGATGTTTTCTTCAACATATTGCACCATTCTCTGATACACAGTCTCATTCTTTATCAATGCCCATCTGGTAGAGAGAGAGAGAGAGAGACATGCCAATAAGATATTTTCATTATTATGATTTCAAGTACAATTATTAAATCACATTTATTTGAAGTTCACAGTACCTTCTACTGACAAATACTCCAATATCTTCTATTTAAGAGTAAGAATACCGTACATTTCAGTACCGTATTGAAAGTTATCACAAAATAAAGATTAGCACACAACTCAATTTGTTATAGTATCATAAAATAAAATTGGTTGAGAACTTGGGATCGATCGTAACATTTTAAGATCTATCCCAATTCTTTTGTATTTTAATTGTAAATAGACTTCGGTAAGTCTAAACTGACTTTTTTGAATTATAACTTGGACCTCAATCATTTGTAACTAACCCTTATTCAGTTGTAAGACTAGGTATGGTACTGAACCCGTACTAGTCTTAGCCTATAAAGGCCCAATGTTAAGTACTTAACTGTAAAGTAGAGTGATGATGGTTTTACCCAAATCTAGAGCCAGCATGACCAGTAAGCTTAGAAAGTGTAAATATCATGAGATCTTCATCTGCTGGAGCTGGAATTGCAGTAAAATGAGGCCAATAAATCTATATTTTAACAACTCAAACATTCACAATAATAACATAGTTATAATATAAATTATACCACATAAATAATCTTATAATTATTAAAAAGTTAAATATTACTTTTTTTTACTAGTGTCATTCACCTCTCTTCACTCAAGAGAAATTGCAATTGAACCAAGCAAGTATCAGAATAAATTGAACCAAGAAATCCATCCCAGCAAGTATCAAGAAATCAAAATAAATCAATGTCAAGTATCAAGAACAGATCTCGTTCAATAAACTCCATTTGTTTTCTTCTTCCCAAAACTAAAAATTAACTTTTAACAGCATAGATTTTTACAATAAATCACAAAAGATTTCATCACAACAGACTTTCGTCTGAGTCACGAATCGTTTGGGTGTAGAACTTCATCTACGCGATCTGTTGTGGCCCTTGTGGGACCTTCATCATGAATCGTCTGGGTGTAGTCATGAATCGTCTGGGTGTAGACGATTCGTGTGGCCTTTGTGGGACCTTCATCACGAATCGTTGGGTGTAGACGATTCGTGACTCAGACCACAATAGATCGCGTAGATGAAGGTCTGCGATCAGACCTTCCAAGCCAGACAATAATAGATCGCGTAGAGAGAGAGAGAGAGAAAGTACCTAGGCTGGGTGGGAATCGGGACTGGAAGTCTAGATCTGGAACGATTAAGGAGGAGGAGCAATGGGTTGAGGTGTGAGGCACTGAAATGAAATGACACAGTAGATGATTAGGTTTTTTTTTTTAGTTTATCTATATATGTATATATTCGTGCGGGTAGGGACTACTCCGCATTTAGGGTAGGGCAGGAACTTGCGGTCAGTTGAAAATTTGAACACCCCTAATTATTTTTATTCACTTTTTTTCGATACAAAAAAAATTAATACTTTTGTACGTATTTTTTACCTCTGTTATGATAATTATGATTATTATTTTTACCGCATAAACTTGTTAAGCTCACATAACACATATATGTTTAATACACATAACCTATTTTCACCCAAGTTTATTACCATTAAATACATCATTCAATTATTCATAAAAAATTTCAAATAATTTTTTTACAAATAACATATCACATCTCATTGATGAAATTAATTAAAATGCATTCAAATTTCAACCCAAAAATTAAAGCAAAAATTATACTAGTATACTGTCATAATAATATTAAAAACTATATTGTCAATTATCATAGTAAAAGCAAAAATTAATAAGTAATAATATTAAAAATTCATCAACCATACATAATAGATAAACTATACTGTCATAAACAGGTTAAACGAACCTACAATAGATTAAATCGGACTCATATCCGATTCATGTCAACTCGTTCAAAATATACAAGTTAATCCAGTCAAAATTAAATTCATGTGAACTCCACATAATTTTTTTTGTGTTTAAACGTATTAACCCGTTTTAACTCATTAACTCGTTTAATTTCGTGTTTGACCCATTAATTTCGTATTCAATTAATGTCATGTCAAAAATTGACAGCCCTACTCCTAGATTAACAATCCATCAATAGAAATTTTAATTATGAAATTCTCCAATCATATACGACACGAACCAATACAAAGAAACTCAACAATTGTTCTTTCTACTAGAAACGCTAAGCCGAAGGATACATATAAGATACATATTTGAAAAATGCTATCAATTTAAGAGAAAATGAATCCAATATGAAAATAGTTGAATCTGATGTTAATCCAACTTCAAAGAGTTGGAGTTATTATCCACAGGACGCTTTTGGGCTAGTGTTTGCTTTGTCCTCTCAAGAACACTAAAGAAGATCGAACCTCCTATACCTATCCACAGTACTCTCGGACCAATCCCCTGCAACACAGCAACCATGTCAGTATTGAATATGAAATGCCAGAGATTTATCCATGATGGAAAGAAATCAAGATGAATGGAGATAAATATCAAACTGCATTGACTAAGTAAAGAAGATCAAGGGTATATAGACGAGATTGAGAGGAGATAAAACAACTAATAATTTTTTTTGATAACATAACAAAGCAGTACATAATCCAGAACAAGGGTGGACAAGAGACTCGAGTTTATATCATTGTATGCTTCCACCTGTAATCATTGTAATGCCTGTATAAACCTTTGATATGTGTTGATTGTAACTAAGACAATTATCAATAACAGTTTGTTCTATTAAATCAATTTGCCCTGCTTTTTTTTTTTCTTTCAAAATTGTCCTGAAATAGAAAGGAATTTACGGTCATTGCTATATTTTACTACAAGCCCACAATCTGTAATCTATCAAAAGCAAAAAGGATTATAGGTGGTTTTCACTTCTATTGATCAGAAAATTTACATCAGTAACATCCTCATATCCTCTCTCAGCAAAAGCAATCAATGCGGTTTGTTTCCACTTGATCCAAACAAGGAAAATGCTGGGTGTAAGTTTACACCACCATTTCTTTTACCAAATTAATGTGACTCAAAGATGTTTGGTTAAGGAAGAATACAGATATTGTGACTCCACTCCAAGAAAACACGTGGTAGGTACAAGCTGTAGACAGACGAGGCACACCTTAAAAAGAGCAGGAGTTCCTTCTTCTCTTATGATGGTGCCAACACTATGTAAGATACCTTTGTACTGGTTTGCTGAACCCTGCAGAGATTGAAAAGAACAAAACAGAAAGGAACATGAAATGACTCTATCTTCAAAAAGGAAGACTAAAAAATATATATAAGCAAGATCCTGAATTTGACGCACCTGAACCATTAATCTAGTCTTCACAACATCTAGAGGAGTTGTTATAGCTCCAGTTATTGCACCTGCAAATAGAAGAGATTAAATTTTAAGAGATCCTCAGAATAGTAGAGCATCACTAGGATCTGTTTGCACAAAAAAATTGAGTTAACTATGCAAGTATAAGAAAATGCATGAAATGTGACACCATGTACAGAATCAATTAAAAAAATAGAAGAATGCTGTTAGATGGAGTAACCATTTATTGTTGTTGTAGAATAGGTTGAATAAAATTTGCATGCATAGTACTTACATTTCCAAGCATATATACCGTGGTGAATGATTTTCAACACTTGGTGGAATCTATTATTCCCAAAGTCATAAGGTTGCTAGTTCTAGACAAGTAAACCAGGGGAGTATTCAAAGTTGTTGGATGAGGCACATGCTATTTTAATTATTATTTCATCATGTTGCTGGTATGCGAAAACATATATGTAGGAGTTTTCTAAACCATTTCCAGAATCTACTTTGAAGTTTGCAACACCGATGGCAAAGAGAGAGATGCATTACTGGATTCTGGATTTAGAAGATCATTTTCCAGAATCTATTCTGAATCTATCAACATCAGTAACACACTATACCTTGCCACTAAATTTCAAAAGGCATGAATAATTGTAACTGTCGCAAGATTAGCAAAAGCAAGAAGCCTGAGAATATCTGTTATAGTCAAATTTGAAAATCATTTGGAAGTACAGTTACCTGCAAAAGCACCAATTATAGCATTTTCAGGATCATTCAGATCCCTGCTTGCCTGCAGAAAAAGTACAATTACTTCTTCATTATCTCATGCAACTATTACAAATGCTTGTACCCAAAAAAAGGAAAGGGAAAAGAAACAACTACAATAGGTCCGAACTTTTAAGTTGTCCATTTAAAGACAATATTAAACCAAGAGGAACTTCTATGCTGACCAACTACCAAAAAACCAGCAGTCGGACAAAGAAGTCCATATGTGGTAAGTTAATTTAAGGGAAAAGGGACCACAACTCCACAATATGGCACTTGTGTGGCGGTAGGTCCAAACAAAGAACTTTCGGTCCAAAAGGACAGTACCCTATGAAAGACCACAATGTCCTTCCATATTAAAAACACTGCAATCCAGACAAAGACTTCCAACAGTCAGACAAGTTCCTTAGGATTGATGAAAAGTCAGGATAAGCATTAAACTTAAACCCGAAGCCAGCTTCACTTCATATTCTGATGATGAATCTGGAGGCACTCATCCTATGATTTCAGGTGTGACTCGTTAAGCTATACCTTGAATTTTGATGACGGAGATAAAGATGAGTTCGGAGTGCAAAAGAAAGTGTGAAGATATATAAATGGGATAAGAAACACACGTGAGATATTTGTGTCAGTCAAGTGCACCAAATAGAATATCAAATAAGGAAAAAGTAAGCTTACTGCTCGCTTATACCCTATCCGAAGCTGCTCATATATGCAAAACTGGATGGCATCAAATGGTAAGTCTCTCAACAAAAAGGATCCATACCCCTGCAGAGACATGGGTGAATACATAAACATGAATGGGAGCTTCTAGAAAGATCATGAAGGAAGTATTATATTAATTTTTGAGACTGAAATACCCAATACAACTTTCTGAACATGCATGTTTTGACACTCCTCTAGGACACGAGACCAAAATTTAGTAAAATCAGCATTTTAGTGAAAACTTACTCCCTGAATCAGCATGACCTACCGCATAAAGGCCTTTAAAACCCTCCTTAGCAACAATAAGGCGAACAGCATCAGGGGCGGAGTTAAATTGCCCAGTCTGCATCCTTTGCTTAACCACCTGTGAAGTGTTCAAAGTTACTAAGTAAAATGAACAGATGGGAGATGAAGAAGTAAACGTAACTACCTCAGTTGGCACACGAACAATTGAAGAAGCAGCCCCTCCAACGGCACCTGCAGTCTAAATGAAGTCTAAAAAGATTTTTAAAAAATAGGTAAATCGTCTAAAGAGTAAACGATTAAAAAAATGGAGAGATTGAAGATGAAGTAACTCATAAAATCAACGTTGATTGGCTTAAGTGGAAGAAAGCCTCCGACATATTATGTGATAGAAGGATACGAATAAAAATGAATGGCAAGTTTTACCAAACACTACAATTATAAAAACAACAATGTTGTATGGGATGGAATGTTGGGCAATTAGAAAACACATAGTGACAAAATGAGTGTAGCAGAAATGACTGTATTAGAGAAAGGGCAAGAGTAGCTCCAATTGAGGATAAATTGAGAGAGAATAGATTAAGATGGTTTGATCATGTTCAACAGAGGTTGAGAGGCGCCAATTAAAAAAAGTGATAGAATTTTTCTTAACGATATTAGGAGTAGGGATAGACTTAAATTAACATTGAATGAAATAATAAGAAAATATTTAACTTAAATGAGCATATAGCACATAACCAAAATGAATGACAAAGACGAAGTCAAATAGCCGACCCCAAATGGTTGGGACATAATAATTGGTTTGATTGGTTGGTTTAGGTAAATTGACTAACGTGATTGGGAACCTTGAGAGAAAATAAGGCTCACAATAAAAAAGAAAAATTTTATGTTCAAAACATCGCTGTGGAAATAAGATTTCAAACAATTAGAAAAATCGAGTGAGCTCGCAATGGACCAATTAAGTCAATAAAACCTCTCTGACATTTCTGACACAGATGAGAGCATTTACCTTAAACTACACATAAAAGTGGTGACCTACCAAATAAACATTAGAAGTCTGACCTTAACAATCTGCTCTTGCTGGCATAGTATTTCATCTTAATTTATACCGCATAGAAAGAACTTTAAAGACCACCCAAGGGTATGCTCAAATGAAGTTAATTATTCCATGATGGCAGAACGGGGGTGGGAAAAATTGAAAAAGATAAATGCAATACAAGTAGTAGTTATTTTCAAGGGTACTTTGCATCAAATTAAGAAGTTTTATCTTGGAATATAAAAAAATGGTCACAGGCTGTCAGATTACTGAAGAATCTAGAAGCAGACATACTTTTAAAATGTGGAAATTGATCACTTCATATACTTTCAGTTGGGAAACTTACCAGATGAGCCAAGGCACTAAGGTTCTCAGGGAAGCTCTTCAGCAATTTTTGCTTCACAGGCTCATATACCCCAACAAATATGGCTGATGCCCTACAAGTAATAAGGAAGGTCATAAAACCAGCCTTTAAAAAGAAAAATTTCAGCATTATATAAAGGTAAGACTACTAACTACTGTAAAGGGTGGCAAAAGGAGGACCATGGGCAAGGGGGATGTTGGATTACTCACTTTTGGGACGCGATAAGAAGCTTGCATTAAAGAAAGATCAAGCACTGAGAGTTTTACAGTTTTCTTATACACAACAGCTAATGTTCAAAGTATCGGCTGATACCGATACGAGCCGGCCGAATCGTATCTGACTCCTAGTCAATACCGTTACACGTTACGTAAAAAACTCTCACACAAGTCGTATGAGGTAGATTGTGTGCATAAATTAAAATGACTATTACATAAAAAATTGGCAGTTAATTGACCATTACAACCCCTACTGAATGGCAATCCTTTACCATAGGCTCATGCATATGTTATCATGTAGATTAGCCCTCTCTGTTAATTCTTAGGTTCAGTAGGAAGCAATTCTAACAAGCTGGAGCTAGCCCATTAGCGTTCTTAGACATGCAAGCAAGCAAAAGTTAGCAAACAAGGTGGTCAATGGGGTCTAAAAGGACACAACTGAACAAAGGAGATCTTTTAGAGTTTTAGGCATGGGCTAGAACAATCAAGTCTGGTTGCCTTGCAACATTCGATTCTCATGGCCAGCGAGCCATTGGCTGAACACCTGACGAGGCTAAAGCATATAGAGATATTTAATGGTTATTGTTTGCCATATCAAAATGTTATGTGAAAGCACCAAATTTGGAACTTTTCTCTTCCTGTTTTAACATATATGTTGATGGTTACTGGTCAACTGTCACTTTTGGTCTTCAACCTAAAATTATGGTTCCTATGGAGCTACATTGCAACAAATCTTCTTTTTGTGCAGCATTGCTTCTATGATTGTAGGAACACTGGGGCAATGGGTTGAGTGACCCATCAAGTATATAATGGAATAACTGTCTTCACACCCTCCCTCACATGCGGGCGAGGCTTGCACATGAACTAACAAACTGAACTAAAACAGATAGATAAACAGACTGGAGCTAAACCGAAACACGTAGACAAACAAACTATAGAATTTAACTGGGCGAGAGACTTATCCTATCAAGTATCAACTATCCAAGACCGGCTCTGATATCATGTTAGGGTATCCAACTCAAAATCAATTGGCAATGGGTAGAGTGACCCACAAGTATATAAATCAATCTTGAGTTACTTAATTTTTTGATAGCTCTCTTCATCATGGTTCTGGGTATCGGCCGAGTCGGAATGTTGATACGATAAAATGACGCTTTGATTAGATATCGCCGATATCTCGGTTCAACTCGTTAGTATTGGACAATATAAGAGGAACTCGGTTTAACTCGGACGATCCCTACCGGAATCGTTCCGAGACGAAAAAGACAGTGAAAAATCCCAAGACAAAGAACAAAAATCCAAACCCACATCTGTAAAAGCCTAAAAATTAGTCACTCATTTTTTCAGGTTGAACAAAAATCCAAAAAAAAACAGAAAGATGGGAAATAAAGCAAAAGAGAGGATGGAAAATAAAGAAAAAGCAAAGAATCAAAAGACCAATCTGCTACATTGATGAGAAACTCATGTGAAACTTAATCGTACATGGCAGAAACTCATGTGAATTGGTAATTTAAACCCCTATTTTTTAACTATAAAAACCAAGAAGACTTAGGATTTAAGAAATACCTGGCATGATTCGAAGTCACGATCTCGGCCATAGACTCGTAGGGTGCTGATACACATCGGTCGTGGCGCGGTAGTGGCGGATACGCTTAAAATGCAAGATTAAAGCTCCAAAAAAATTTGAAATAATTATAGAAAATTCTAAAAATATAAACATCATTATTAATGCATCATATGTCCACAATACACCCAAAAACACATTAAACATAATTAAATGAAACATAAAATTGCTACGGAGAATAATTATCATTATTATTGTTCAACATAGGCATTTAGGAACATATTGAGTCATAATCATTGCCATATTGAACGACAATGAGACTCAAAATTGTCGTTATTGTCTTTAGGATAATACAAATTAGGATGATGTCCACCATAAGAATAAGAGTACAAGTGTGAATACAGGTCTGATAGGGTTGGTTGAGATGATTGGCTAGATGACCCATAATCAGAGTAGTGTGACTGTGGAGGTTGTACTAACTGGTTCTCATGCTGATAGTACCCAAAATCACGATATTCACGACCATTACTAGCAAAAGTAGTGTGACTGTGAATTCGGGTTTGATTGGGTTGGTTGAGATAATCGGCTAGATGACCCATACTTAGAGTAGTGTGACTGTGGAGGTTGTACTGGCTGGTTCCCACGCTGATAATACCCAAAACCATGATATTCACGGCCAATACTAGCAGAAGACTAATCATATCCATAAAAGTCGACACTATCTGATGTCGTATTAGAAGATCCATCATAATGTCTTCTTGGAACACGATTATAGTAACCACCAGTACTAGTACTAGTACTAGTAGATCTCTCAAGATACGTAGGGCGATGGTCATAATGCCCAGCACTATTAGTACTAGTAAACCTTGGAAGTTGCAAAAGGATACCATATCCATATGATCCATGTGCATAGCTAGATTCTATACCACTATTTTGATGATGTCCGTAAGGCATGTATCCCTCATGTGATGTCAATCCCAAACTCTGCATATGATCATCAATATCTTGTTGACATAGTAAATGATGGTGGTGTCTATTGGAATAATCATCACCAATGGAAGAGTTTAAATTCCTTCGTTGTTTCATTGCCCCAGATCGATATCCATGATCTGTATCTTTTGTAGTATAATAATTATCTTGCCCCTGTACCTATGACATACCGCCAGCTAGTTGAGTATCACCACCATCTCCAGTTTTCTCTCCACCACCATTCTTGTTGCCCTAATTATTATCTCTACCACCACCACCACATCATAAGTATCAGCAACGTTATCATCATCATCATCAGAAGAATCACTAGAACTGACAAAAATTCTCAAAGCTTTTTTACCCTTATTGGTTGGCCTACTCTCTTTTCCAGATCTTCTGGTAGTGGCATAGTTGCAAGATGTTGGAACCGTATTAGTGTCACCTTCATCAATAGCATCTCGTCCACTTCCACCTTCTTCAATGTCACGAATACCTTCATCTAGCCAACCTAAATTATCAGGAGATAAAATTGATTTCTCCCCCTCTTATCCACTCATCTAATATGTCTTCATCATTAAAAATATAGTTCAGATCAACTGGATTATAAAAATCATCATTTTCACGTTGATACGTCAAGTTTCTAACTCGCAACCGCATATTGTAGTGCACAAAAACTAACTTATGTAATTTTTTCATTGTTAATCGGTTGTAAAGTTTTGTATGGATCAGCGACCATGTACTCCAATTTCTTTCACACCCTGATGACGAGCATGTTTGACTTAAAACTTTGACTGCAATTTTTTGTAGATTGGGAGTTTCTGCACCATAATTGATCCACCATTCAGCTACAAAAAAAATGTACAATATTAGTATTTGTCTATAAGAGTAACAAAATGATACTTTAATAAATATATATAGTTTAAATAATAAACCTGGAAGGGAGGCATGTACAGCTTTCCTAGTGAGTGTATTCTCAAACTCGTCATGTCTGTCAGTATATAATTTGATCTGCTATTTATTGTGTAATATATTATGTATACGACCAAGATATATACATATTATAATAAATATTATCAAAAACTGTCATACCTCATTCATTGCCCTTGCTTGTTTATTCAAATCTGGTTCCAATATTTTAATAACCTCTTTCAAACTAGATCTTATCTCAAGATGATTGAAAAATTGATTAGAATACTGAAAAAGTGGATTTAAGAAATAAGCTGCAAAGTTTTGACAATTTAATGTAAGTTAGTGGAAAACTATAATATTTTACAAGCTAATACACAATAAAAAATTTATATTTTTAAATACTTTTACCTACTGTATGCAAGTGTCTGTGCAATTGGGTCTCCCATCTTTTGTCAATCACGGCCTAGTATTTCTTCAAATTTTTGACTGAATGTTGTATCGCTAGTTTAGCCCTGTCCATTGCCTCATAGACAATTGATAAAGTCATTTTTTTGTTTTGATCAACTATCTTTAAGACTCTAATAAGAGGCTCTATGACAGATTAAACTTCTTTAGCCTTTTTCCAAAATTAGTCAATCAAAATAAGGTTTGAAACTATATCTCTTGTTTTTCTCCTCTTCTTGTCTTTGTTGAACGCACGCCATTCATCGGTGGTGTACATCTTTTCAAGTCCGATTCATAACGAATAAAACTTTCAATGGTGATAAATTCAGTGGCAAATCGTGTTATACCTGACCTCAATAAATCTCTTTCTCTTGTATGTTGCTTCATTAAGTTCACCACTTTGAGGCTGTTGTAGATAAAGGATGTGATCGTCTTAGCATCATCTATGGTCTCTTTGATTGCTTTCATATGACCAATATCTTCTAGCATCAGATCGATACAATGGGCTGCACAAGAAGACCAAAATAGATGTTTCCTTTTATCCATCAACATCTTACCAGCTGCTTTAAAGCTTGCTTCATTGTCGGTTACTATATGTAATACATTTTTTTCTCCAACTTTATCCATAAGAGAGAAAATATAGTCAGTAGTTTTTGAAATGTTGATGGTATCAACCGAAGTATGGTAAATCATACTACGGTCACAATAAATCATGAAATTAATAATGGGTTTCTTTGTTCTAGAACTCCACCCATCAAATATGATTATGCAACCATACTGAAGTCATTTTACCTTCACCGAGGATATATACACATCAAGCTCTTGAACCTCCTTCAAATAAAAACTACCACTTTGATATCCTATGGGGCCCTTTATTCCTGGCCCTGCATCCGCAATAGTGTCAATCATTAACCGATAGTAAGGCCCACTATCAACCGCATTGAATGGTATTGCATTGAAGAGAAAAAACTTCGAAATAGTTTTTCCACTTTTTTTAGATTCTCACCTGAGAACATGCCTTTTACTAACTTTTGTTTAGACAAAAACATGTACGGATCAATGCCACTTACAGGCACGTTGGCACCTTCCTTTACACTATAACTACGTGGCGGTCCGCGCTTGATTCCTGAGCCAGATGGTTGAGATAATCTAGCACAAAAAAAATGAACCTTAGTAGAACAACTGCTTGAATTTGATACAGAGTGCCTACGACCCTCTTCTTTTATCCAAGCCATTTGACAACTTTCCTCATTACATGCTTTAACTATCTGTTTTCAAAATCACCCTCTTCAATTTGATCATCATCATCATCATCATCCACGTTGTAAAAATCTTCATCTCGTAATGATTGTATAATTCGTTCTTTTTTCTTCTTTATAGAAGTTTTTTTTTACTACAATCACTGAGATGTTTTCTTAACAATTGTGACACTTCTTTTAGTGCACGTGGACATCCTTCCACCTATCCGAATACATGTCCAATATGCTGCTTCATTCGAGTAATACTGTCATGAACTATTTTTCTACAGTAGTTGCACTTTGTAATTCTTCGATCACCACCAACAGGTGTTGCGTGTTCCCAACCAATGTCATGTTGTTTAGGAGTCATTCTACAATGTCACAAATTTTAAATAATTAAATAAATAACATACAATTAATTGATTTAAAATTTTCAGAAATATGTAGTTCTACTCTTTTTTTTTTTTTTTATTTTAGTTTTTCACTTATAATTTTTATGATTATTAAAAACAATACTTAAAATAATTTTCACATTTGAGACTTTTTTTACTAGAAAAAAACATAATTACCAGCCTAAAAAAAAAAACAAAAAATCACTTGTTGAAGAGTATAGGAATTGAACCTATGACTTCCAAGTTGATAACATACGTCTCTACCAATAGACCTACTACTTGTATATGACTTTAAAGACAAATAAATATACTTAAAGACTCAGTAAAAAGCCTGGAAAAAAAAACCCGTGGCCAGAAAAAACAGGAAAAAAAATACAGCCTGTTGAGGTAGGAATCGAACTCATGGCTTCTAGGCTGATAACCTGCATCTCTGCCACTTGACATGCTGCTTTTATATGATTTTAAAGACAAATATAAATATTTAAAGACTTAGTAAAAAAAAACACCCACTTTATAAGTCCATTTTTTCTTTTTCCCCACTTACCTACACAGTCCTCAGTGCCAGACTGCCAGTCACAACGACAATTTTTTATCAACGGAGAACCAACGGCGATTCTTTGCCAAAGATGGTCACAGCGAAGGAGAAAGAAGAACCGAAGAAAAAACAGAAGAAGAAGATGTAGATTGCAGATGCTATTTGGTTTAATCTCCAGGTATGTCTTAAATCCTAAGTCCTCTTAGTTTTTATAGTTGAAAAATAGGGGTTTAGGTTACCAATTTCACATGGGTTTCTGCCATGTACTATTAAGTTTCACATGGGTTTCTCATCAATGTAGCAAACTGGTCTTTTGATTCTTTGCTTTTGCTTTATTTCCCATCCTCTCTTTGCTTTATTTTCCATCCTTTTTTTTTTTTTATGGATTTTTGTTCAGCCTGAAAAAATGAGTGATTGATTTTTAGGCTTTGACAGATGTGGGTTTGGATTTTTGTTGTTTGTCTTGGGATTTTTCACTGCCTTTTTCGTCTCGGAACAATTCATGTCAGGATCGTCCAAGTTAAACCGAGTTCCTCTTATATCGTCCGATACTAACAAGTTGAACCGAGATATCAGCAATATCTGATCAAAGCATCATTTTCCCATATCGCGTACTGCTATCGTATCGACATTGGGCGAGTCGGATACGACTCGGCAGAGTCCCTGAACCATGATACCTGGAGATCAAACCAAATAGGGTCTGCAATTTGCATCTTCTTCTTCAGTTTTTTATTCGATTCTTCTTTCTCCTTCGCTGTGACCATCTTTTTCGGCAAAGAATCGTTGTTGGTTCTCTGTCTGCCTCCCTTTCTCTCTCATTGTGACTAGCAGTCTGGCACAGAGGATTGCGCAGGTAAGTACGAAAAAAGAAAAAACTGACTTATAAAGTGGGTTTTTTTTTTTACTAAGTCTTTAAATATTTATATTTGCCTTTAAAATCATATAAAAAGCAATATGTCAAGTGACAGAGATGCAGGTTATCAACCCAGAAGCCATGGGTTCGATTCCTACCTCAATAGGCTGTGTTTTTTTTCCTGGTTTTTCTGGTTGTTGATTTTTTTTACAGGCTTTTTACTGAGTCTTTAAATATATTTATTTGTCTTTACAGTCATATACAAGCAGTAGGTCAATTGGTAAAGACGTATGTTACCAACTTGGAAGTCATAGGTTCAATTCCTATACTCTTCAACCGATGGTTTTTTCTGGCTGCTGTTATTTTTTTTTTTTTTCAGGCTGTTTTTTTTCTGGCTACTGTTTTTTTTTAGGCTATTTTTTTTTTCATTCTGTATTTTACTGATAAAAAAAGTCTCAAATGTAAAAATTATTTCAAGTATTGTTTTTAATAATCACAAAAATTATAAGTTAAAAACTAAAATAAAAAAAAAGAAAAATAGAACTACATATTTCTGAAATTTTTAAATCAATCAATTGCATGTTATTTATATAATTATTTGAAATTTGTGATATTGTAGAATGACTCCTAAACAACATGACATTGGTTGGGAACACGCAATATTTGTTGGTGGTGATCAAAGAATTACAAGGTGCAACTATTGTGGAAAAATAGTTCATGGCGGTATTACTCCAATGAAGCAGCATATTGGACATGTATCCGACCAGGTAAAAGAATCTCCACGTGCACCAAAAGAAGTGTCACAATTGTTAAGAAAACATCTCAGTGATTGTAGTAAAGAAAAAACTTTGGTAAAGAACGAATTATACAATCATTACGAGATGAAGATTTTTACAACCTTGATGATGATGATCAAATTGAAGAGGGTGATTTTGAAAGCGTATAGTTAAAGTATGCAATAAAGAAAAGCCATCAAATGGCTTGGATGGAAGAAGAGGGGTCGTAGGTACTCTATATCAAATGCAAACAGTCGTTCTACTAAGGATCATTTTTTTGGTGCTGATCATCTCAACCATCTGGCTCAGAAATCAAGCGCGGACCACCATGTAGTTATAGTGTAAAGGAATGTGCCAATGTGCCTGTAAATAGCATTGATCCGTACATGTTTTCGTCTAAATAAAAGTTAGTAAAAGACATGTTCTCAGGTGAGAACTTGAAAAAAGTGGGAAAAGCTATTTCTAAGTTTTTTCTCTTCAATGCAGTTGATAGTAGGCCTTACTATCAGTCAATGATTGAAACAATTGCAGATGCAGGGCCAGGAATAAAGGGCCCCACAAGATATCAAATTGGTAGTTTTTATTTGGAGGAGGAGGTTCAAGAGCTTAACGTGTATATATCCTCGATGAAGGTAAAATGGCCTCAGTATGGTTGCACAATCATGTTTGATAGGTGAAGTTCTAGAACAAATAAACTCATTATCAATTTCATGATTTATTGTGACCGTAGTATGATTTACCATACTTCGGTTGATATCACCAACATTTCAAAAACTGCTGACTATATTTTCTCTCTTATGGATAAAATTGTTAATGAAATTAGAGAAGAAAATGTAGTACATATAGTAACCGACAATGAAGCAAACTTTAAAGTAGCTGGTAAGATGTTGATGGATAAAAGGAAACATCTATTTTGGTCTCCTTGTGCAGCCCATTGTATCGATCTGATGCTAGAAGATATTGGTCATATGAAAGCAATCAAAGAGACCATAGATGATGCTAAGACGATCACATCCTTTATCTACAACAGCCTCAAAGTGGTGAACTTAATGAAGCAACATACAAGAGAAAGAGATTTATTGAGGTCAAGTATAACACGATTTGCCACTGAATTTATCACCATTGAAAGTTTTATTCGTTATGAATCGGACTTGAAAAGAATGTACACCACCGATGAATGGCGTGCGTTCAACAAAGACAAGAAGAGGAGAAAAACAAGAGATATAGTTTCAAACCTTATTTTGATTGACTAATTTTGGAAAAGGCTAAAGAAGTTTAATCTGTCATAGAGCCTCTTATTAGAGTCTTAAAGATAGTTGATCAAAACAAAAAAATGACTTTATCAATTGTCTATGAGGCAATGGACAGGGCTAAACTAGCGATACAACATTCAGTCAAAAATTTGAAGAAATACTAGGCCGTGATTGACAAAAGATGGGAGACCCAATTGCACAGACACTTGCATACAGCAGGTAAAAGTATTTAAAAATATAAATTTTTTATGTGTATTAGCTTGTAAAATATTATAGTTTTCCACTAACTTACATTAAATTGTCAAAACTTTGCAGCTTATTTCTTAAATCCAGTTTTTCAGTATTCTAATCAATTTTTCAATCATCTTGAGATAAGATCTAGTTTGAAAGAGGTTATTAACATATTGGAATCAGATTTGAATAAACAAGCAAGGGCAATGAATGAGGTATGACGATTTTTGATAATATTTATTATAATATGTATATATCTTGGTCGCATACATAATACATTACACAATAAATTACAGATCAAATTATATACTGACAGACATGACGAGTTTGGGAATGCACTTACTAGGAAAGCTGTACATGCCTCCCTTCCAGGTTTATTATTTAAACTATATATATTTATTAAAGTATCATTTTGTTACTCTTATAGACAAATACTAATATTGTACATTTTTTGTAGTTGAATGGTGGATCAATTATGGTGCAAAAACTCCCAATCTACAAAAAATTGCAGTCAAAGTCTTAAGTCAAACATGCTCATCATCAGGGTGTGAAAGAAATTGGAGTACATGGTCGTTGATCTATACAAAACTTTATAACCGATTAACAATGAAAAAATTACATAAGTTAGTTTTTGTGCACTACAATATGCGGTTGCGAGTTAGAAACTTGACGTATCAACGTGAAAATAATGATTTTTATAATCCAGTTGATCTGAACTATATTTTTAATGATGAAGACATATTAGATGAGTGAATAAGAGGGGGAGAAATCAATTTTATCACCTGATAATTTAGGTTGGCTGGATGAAAGTATTCGTGACATTGAAGAAGGTGGAAGTGGACGAGATGCTATTGATGAAGGTGACACTAATACGGCTCCAACATCTTGCAACTATGCCACTACCAGAAGATCTGGAAAAGAGACAAGGCCAACCAATAAGGATAAAAAGGTTATGAGAATTTTTGTCAGTTCAAGTGATTCTTCTTTTGATGATGATGATGATGATAACATTACTGATACTTATGGTGGTGGTGGTAGTAGTGGTACTAGTGATGCTGATGATGTTAATAATCATGATAGAGATAATAATGAGGACAACAAGAGTGGTGGTGGAGGGAATACTGGAGATGGTGGTGATACTCAACTAGCTGACGGTATGTCACAGGCACAGTGGCAAGACAATTATTATGCCACATAAGACACAGATCATGAATATCGACCCGGGTAATGAAACAACGAAGGAATTTAAACTCTTACATTGGTGATGATTATTCCAATAGAAGCCACCATCATTCACTTGGTCGGCAAGATATTGATGATCATATGCAAAGTTTGGGATTGGCATCACACGAGGGATACATGCCTTACGGACATCATCAAAATAGTGGTATAGAATCTAGCTATGTACATGGATCATATGGATATGGTATCCCTTCTTAACTTCCGAGGTCTACTAGTACTAATAGTGTTAGGCATTATGGTCATCGCCCTACGTATCTTGAGAGATCTACTAGTACTGGTGGCTACTATGATCGTGTTCCAAGGAGACATCCTGATGGATCTTCTAATACATCAGATAGTGTCAACTTTTATGGATATAATCAGTCTTCTGCTAGCAGTAGCCGTGAATATCGTGATTTTGGGTACTATCAGCATGGGAACCAGTCAGTACAACCTCCATAATCACACTACTCTAATTACGGGTCATCTAGCCAATCATCTCAACCAACCCAATCAGACCCATATTCAAAGTCACACTACTTTTGCTAGTAATGGCAGTGAATATCGTGGTTTTGGGTACTATCAGCATGAAAACCAGTCATACGACCACCACAGTCACACTATTCTGAGTATGGGTTATCTAGTCTATCATCTCAACCAACCCAATCAGACTCGTATTCACACTCGTACTCTTATCCTTATGGTGGACACTATACTAATTTGTATTATCCTAGAGACAATAACGACGATTTTGAGTCTCATCGTCGTTCAATGTGGCAATGAATATGGCTCAATATGTTCCTAAATGCCTATGTTGAACAATGATAATGATAATTATTCTCGGTAGCGATTTTATGTTTCATTTTAATTATGTTTAATGTATTTTTGGATGTATTTTGTACATATGATGCATGGATGATGATGTTTATACTTTTAGAATTTTCTATAATTTTTTTAAATTTTTTTGGAGCTTCTATCTTGCGTTTTGAGCGTATCGGCCAATACCGCGCCGCGACCGATGTGTATCAGCACCCTCCAAGTCGATGGCCGATACCGCGACTTCGAACCATGCTCTTCACATGGTCAATTATCAAGTTAAACAATCTCTTATTGCTAAAAGAAACTAGCCTAAAAGCTAAAGCTATTATTAGGAGACGCCTAACACGTATATGAAGTCATACCAGAACCCATCCAACCAATTTCGAACACCTTTTAACATCCCCTCTCACCAGTAGTCCAATAGAAGAACAAAGCCCATGGCACGGGCAAATATATGCAGCAAAGAACAGCAGATTCTCATACCACGTCAGGTAAATCAACCCAAAAGTTAACAATGTTAATGACCAGCAGGCCAATGAGCAAATAAATGAGCTGGTTTCTCTAACAATAACAGAGCCAACGGCCCAACACCAAGACATTCTTCTTTTCCTTGCTATAAGGCAATTACCTACAATGATCCAGCCAATATAAGGAACTTAGACATAACCTCCACCATTATTTGTAATTTTGTACCACTACCAAATAACTGCTATAAACTCAAAGTTGCACTACCACACTTAACAACCAGAGCTCAGCATTGGCTCAAGCAATAGTTTTTTCTCGTAGATTTTAATGTAGGTACAATCTTCTTTCATAGACTCGATCTGTAAAATTCATACAGATGTTGACAGTTCATCACAACAACGATTTTTGGAAGACATCAAGGATGAAAATGTTAGTTGAGATATAAGGCTTTGATGAATTTTATTCAGTTCACATGGCAATTTAAAGTAGTAAGCTTTGACCTAGCCCTGGTAGACGTACTGAAATCACGATAAAAGGAAACAAAAAAAGTATATCTAACCTTACGCACTCTCTGCATTGAAACAACAATCTGTGATATGAGTTCCCAAGTACGAAAAAGAAGCAATTAAGAGAACTTACGGTAAGGCACCCGCAAGATTTCCAGCCAATCCAGAATAAAGACCCTTCAAATCGATTTTTCCTCCACCATGAACTGCCTAACATGGAATGATGAACAATTGGTTAAGATTAATATAAAAAAAAATCAGTCACAAGGCTTAAAAAAAAGAGGAAACTTGGTTCTTATGGATATCAAACAAAGCCAACATTTATATTAATCACTTTCTATGTTGACATACACAACAGAGGATAAGAAGGCATGCAGAGAATATATGCAAAAAATTGGTGCACTCCCATCCCATTTGCATCGCTTCTCATCCTAATTAGACTAAGACCATTAAAAATCAAAGGGACAACTAACTTTCACATTTAGGCATCCATATCAAACTTAAGGTGATATCTTTTTCTATAGATAGAGATAACAGACAGAATCTTGGTCTTACTGTCCCTAGTGACTCCAGCCAAAGCAATTCAACAAAACATCATAGCACCATTCAAATAATCATCCAGATATTACTAGAATAATTGGATCGTTTGACTTGGGTTCCTAGTTCTAAAGAAATTTGGCCCATAAATATTTGTATATCTCCTATTCACAGAAACAACAACAGATGAATATGAATAATAACATTTGATACAGTTAACCTGCTTGAAGTCGAGTCTTTATTGTATCAATTGGATATAAAATTGTTTCCGCAACAATTCCAGCAGCACCTCCAGCTATAGCACCCTCTGCAAAAAATTGATAGGAAAACTCTAAGCAATAAAGAATAGTAATAGCCTAAATCCTTTATTTACAATATTATATTCAAATGGAAACTAACCAGTAACAACAGTACCAATGATTTTTTAATGCCCTACCTACACACATACTGACATTCTATCTCTTTTGCAAAACACTTATGGTTTCTAAATAAAGTAAGAAACAAAACACCTCTTTTGATTGCCTAGTTCGAATTTCAAAACTATCACAGTTCCCTAACATTCCTAAATTACTTTAAAGCAAACACAAACCATGTTTTATTGTTATATGCCAGATTTTGGAAGGTAAGAGGTTGTTTATGACCTTAGTGTAGGTTCAATAAACTTTTCTAGACTTAAAACCAAGATTTGTATGCTTAATTTCTATAAACGCGATGAATATGCAAATGATTATCAATACGCAAGTTTAAAATATTTATGATTTCAACTAAGAAATGGTATCTGCCTTGTATACAATTTTTCTATGCTCTTACTGGTATGCACGCAGTGCCCCTGTGTCATACCATTATGCATACATTTTTTTTATTGTGCACTTCTAAATTAGAGAATTAAACGAAGAAATTGGGGGAGTTATCCCTCTCGTATATTTGGATTTCATTCTATTACTTCACCTCTTTCATTATCAATATAATATAATTTAATCTCATTATCAGAAAGAAAATAAAAGCTAGAGAAAAGCATTCCACTTAACAAATTTGTCATAAAGAAAGGTTGCAGATTGATAAACTGTGAATCAACTTTTAAGTCTTACAATTCACCTCAATTTTCCATCACTTCCCTAGCTCTTACTGTAAGTCTGCAACCACGATTCATTATTCATATACTCCATTTGAAACTAGATGAGAATTTCCTCATGAAATTCAAGGATAACATATAAATTACCAAGAGCAATGTCCCTAATATAGCCAAACTCTTCAGTTCTTTTATTTTTAGTTTCTTCATCCTTTGCATAATTTTTTAGTTCAATCAATAGAAATCAAGTTTAAAACCAAACCACTAAATTTGCTTAAGCTAACAACACATGCTACTACCCTGCATACAACTTCAACAATAATCATATTCACTAAATGCCGAAAATCGTATTACATACCAAATAAAACACGTAAAAAATTGATTGGTTTGTCTTCCTGCATGCTGACCGATGCAGTAATCTTGTTTTGCTCATGTTGAGAACTGCAAATTTTGTGCTCCAGCGCATCTGTGATTAGAATCATTTGTGCAAAACGAATAGTAAGGAGGAAAATACAATATATTAGATTGATATAAATATTTCTCCCATCAGAATCAATGTTTAAAATTGGATAATAATGAGAAATTCAAGAGCATCATAGGCATTTTTCCCCCTCTGATAAGAAACAAGAACTTTCATTAAAATTTCTCAAGCAAACAAAAATAGGGAATTCGGGTACTGATCACTAGTAGAGTGAACCAAGGGACAAAGAGACAGTAAGCTTGACAACATTTACCGACTCCCTCCATCACAAATATGAGAAGAGCGCATCCAAACATATAGATACATCAATTAATAAAAACTCCCTCGTTGCAAAGTTCAATAATATTATTTCAACCACCAAATTGAACGCCACCGTACAGTTAAACCTCAAGCTAATGTAACCGAAAAGTACATGGGCATTTTTTTTTTTAATCATATACAAATGGTGACTAGTCCAGCTTTCCCCGCAAATATATAGGTACTAAAACACAAGCAATCAAACATATATACAAAACAAAAGCTACATCTTTTCAAATTAATCAATGGAAGATTTCAAAGAAATTATATGCAAAGTAGAACAAAGATAGAAAAAAAAAATCTCACAATTGCCATAATAAAGAAACATAAAAGGTGAGAAAATCATTACCGGATGACACTCTTTTAACGTTAACAGACATTGTTTAACTGCACAAATCAAATTGAAAACTGGTCAGAGAAACATTTTAGCATTACTTTTTAATATCTTATTGTTCACAACTCGATGCAACATTTTCCGGCTCCAATAATATATTAATCACACATCTTGAATGAAATTCTCTGCAATTTATGTGTGTGCGTCTCTGACTGAGAGAGAGAACCTCCGACTCCGAGCTGAGCTGACCTGTGTGCTTGGGCTCTTGTCGAGAGGAACGCCAAGACCAACGTTAGGGTTTTGTACTACTTCAATAAAAATTGGTCAATCGGCCAAGCCAGGGGCAGCCCGTTTGCCCTAGATTGCGGACCACTGTTGGGCCTCGTCAAATTACCACCCATACCTATTTGGGAAAATTGGGAAAGAGGAGTGTACAAAGCGTATTAAAGCATATTCAAACGCACTCAACAAAATAACTATTCAAAATATAATTAACTATTAAATTTTCTATTTTAACTAGTTATTTTTTAAAATTCACTTCAACCACACTCTCTATTTTAACTAACTATTTTAACTAATTTTAACTATTTTTAATGATATAATTCAAAAATACCACATGATATAACACATAAGCGTCTTAATGATGACAGAGCATGATGATTAGTTGTGCCACGTCATTAAATTTTTAAATTTTAAATTTTACAATGGTCATATTTTCGACGGACATATAATATCCTCAAATAACTTTAGAAGCTGAGGGTGTGGCCTGGTGGTGAGGAATTGTGGAAAACAGAGGTGGGTTAATTCAATTAGTGGGGTTGTGTGAATGTGGAGGAGAAAGATAATGAACATAAGATAGGGAAAAAGTGAATGGGCTGAATAATGAGATGCTCAAATGTAGAGCTTGGAAATGGGCTAAATAATATTTTCAAATGACTTTCCCACATAGAAACAACAAGATGTACAGCAAACTCCCAAACAAATAACCAGTGCAGCCATATGCAAGAGAGCCAAGCAACAAAAACAGAAAAAATACAGGTTGCATACCATTACTGACTAAATTCATATCCAAGAACTCGGCCAACCTCCAGAATTTCAGTAAAAATGATCTTATAATTGTGTTCTACATGCAAGCTCAAACAACATAACAAAGTAAAAAAAAATACAGTTCAAGCTACAAATCATAAATTTGGAAGAGCAAATCATACGCAACAATAGAACAAACTTGTGGCCTTGTTTATGAATCAAACAAGTCCTAGTTTTTCACCGTCATTGAGGCAATTCATCAAACATATTGTGAACAGTTAAAAGAAACTCATCTCAAAAAATTTCAAGAAATCAGGTTGTTCACAGACAGACCAATGGTCTTCTGAGTTCTTGATTTCATCATTTGAGGTATCAAAATCATCTCAGGTTTCTATTTGGGCATTAGGGTTTCTGTCGAATCAAGCACACAGAGAGAGAAAAAGAGATAGAGAGATCCATACCGGGTGAAGACAAGTTTTGATGAAGATGATGATGAAACCACAGCGAAGACGAGCTCTGATGAAGAACAATCCCAAAATTAGCACAAAGAGCAAATAGAGAATGAACCTTGCTAGCCAGAAATAACGAGTGATAATGGGGGGAAGGCAAAATAACTAAAAGATGGCCTTTACTGAACGGGTTGGAGTTGCTCTTACCATTATGGGCTTGTTTAGGTTTAACATTACGGTTTATACCATATTTGGTATGTAACACATATATATATAGGATTCATGGATATATCATAATTATTAACAATTATTTGTCATATAAATGACTATTTTACCTTTGATCAATCCAATTCATGCATATGTTAAAAGATACAATTGTCTTTTATATCCTTAACCCCTTCTTCTTCCTAAATCCACTTCTCTCTTAAGTTTGACATAGTCTATGATCATGAGTTTACTATTTGAGCCAATTACAGGTCGGTTTTAAGAACTCATAATTGAATTTTCAATCCAAACATAGGATTTAGGGATCTTTTAGACTATTTTTCCTCAAACTCATCTCGTTAAGCCCTCATACCCCTTTACCACACAACCCCTTACAGAATGTTTGGATGGTTATAGAGTGAGGGATTGAATTGATATTATCAAATCTTTCCAAACTCAATTTTTACTTTTGTGTATATGGAATTTATAGATAAAACATATTTATATCCATGTTTGATAAACAACAATTATACTTGCATGAGCTACAAATTTATCACCATATATTGGCCATATAAATGACTATTTGTCTATTGGTTGATTCAATCTATACCTATGTTTGTTTAAAGACATTTTTTGTGTTCACTTATGAACTTTATATCTGGATTTTTCCCCCAACTTATGATATCAAACATCAATATTAATAAAAATTAATATATTATGCATAACCACAACAAAATAATTTATTTGATGCAACTTTATCATATTCCAAAAATTAGTCATACACTACGTTTTTATAAAATAACATTTAATATACAGGAATATACACAAAAATTATCCAATTATCGGATGAACTTAACTAATTATAAGTTTTTTAGAAAAGAATTGACCCCAATTATCACGTGTATTAGATTAAACCAATCCATAGATCGATAAGCAAATAACTAACTAGATCAGCAGCCCATCCCACGTATCGAGGGCTTGTTGCTGAGCTCTAAATCTAATTGGAGTTGTGGAGGGTCATGTCATGTAGATTGTCTTGAGCTGGATGAATAATGTTAGATCCACGAAAAATTTAGACTAAAAGTATTTGTTGACATGATATGCAGCGTTTGAAGAAATAGAGTTCAAATGATTTGAAATGAATGCACATTGAATAAAAAATATTATCATTATAGTGTTATATTATTCGGTTCTTATTTTTTATTATACTTTTATCAAATTAGTATTACTCAAATTTAAATTTTAAAAGACTAAAAGTGAGTTGAATAATACTTTTATACAAGTTATTTGTTCCTCGATTTTGGTTCACTTTTTTTGTCATTATAGAAAATATCCTTTTGTGGATATTTTGAGACTGGATGGATGGTGCTAGTAAAAAAAGAGATGGAGATAATTGAGAGTATCTAGAATTACTCTAATAAGTTTTTACTTATGGGATGATAAGACTCTTAACCATACTTGTTACTATTCTCAGGAATGAACTTAATTAAACTAGCATAGTGTCAACCATCGAACTTCAATATTCAAATCTCAATCCTCAACGAGAGAAGTTCAACCAATACTCTACTAAATCAACCCAATCGATAATTACTAGACGGATGCTGCAAGTAGAACATAAACAACTTCAAAATGCGAAAGCCATTGAAATTGACGTTTATGCATTTCTTATGCTCTAGGAGAAGTTTATCGCACCTTAAAAAAAAGAAAAAACGAATGGTATTGTAGCGTTAATTATAATTTTTGTGAATTTTTTTAATAATTTTTTACAATTATCTTACAACATTTTTGTAACTTGCAATCGATCGATTACAAGTTACCACAAAAGTTAAAACTTAACATAAAATAGTTGTAATTCAAACTTTTAAAATAGTAGCTTATAATTTTTTTTTTTGCTATAAATAAACCCCAAAAATTATATTAGAACACACAAAAATTATGAAATTTAAATATACAGAACCAATGTTTTTTCTCCGACACCGTATAATGGGTGAACTTAAAAGTGTCAATCGTGTCGTGTCACTTTCAGTCGTATTATTTTTTTGTTAGGTTACTTTCAATAATTGTTGGGTTTATGTCAATATTGGTGTCAATAAAAAATTATTTAATTTCACAACAACTCATATAATATTATTTAAAAAATTAAAAAAATATTTATTAAATACTTATTTTTTATTTGTAGTACCAGTTAATTGTGTTATTCGCATCGAATCTTAATTTGATTTATTTATTATTTGTGTCAACTAATTATATTATTTTAAAATTTTATGTCGGATGAGTTCTTGTCAAATTTCTATTAATGGATAAAATTGACACCTAGGCCAACCGTATATGAAACTGTACTGTGCTTTAAGATATTGCATAACAATTCCAAATTCGAAGTTAATTGAAAATGACATTCACGCATTTCATATGCCCAAAAATGGGCCCAGTCATATATAAAGATTATTGTGAAATCTACACCGCCCATCGGAACTGACTCACCAAGAATACAATAATAGTCCTGACCCCTTGGTTTCTTTGAAATCTCCTTTCCCACCAATAAAAGTGACTTGAAAATTGATGGTGCCCGGATTTGCCAACCTTAGCCGGTTGGCCCCCGAAAGAATGCAGGGTAAATATAATGTATGGCAGCGAATGGAACAGTAAGGATAAAAACAGAACAAAGCATAAGTGATTTATCTTAACCGAGAGGCCAAGACTATATCTACTGTAAGGGAGTCTCTTGTTCCTCAAATTTGTATATTACTTGATTTTCGGTAAGTACAAGTGTATAATTGGCTCAGGCCTTTACAAGAACAACGTGCAAATAGGCTAGATTGTATTGATGACTTGAGAGCACCAATGTAAGAGATGATCATTTACTGTAGTATAATAGTGTCTTATTTATACAGGTGATCATTCTAGGGTTTCTTGAGGTTCCTTTCTTTTTATTGATTGTGTGAGCCCTCCACTTTTTGTCCTGTAGTGACATCTGTCACACAACGCCACTATACCCATGATCTCTAAGCGGTTATACACACCAATGTTTTCTGTGTCGGGGAATGCGTATTGTTATGGGTGTCAGAAGTGGTTCCCTTGTCTTTAGGACGCGTGGCGCTACAAGGGCATTTTAAGGCAGGCGTTGGGTCGAGCTCCCCTATTCGAGCTGACATATAATGAGTTGGGCGGGGGCTGGGCTGGAGTCCAGATCCTCTGATATCGTTGGGTCTTTTCCTTTGGGATTCAGTATACCTTGCTCTTGGTGTGGACAAGCGTGGGCGTTCTAGTTGGGCCATTAGGCAATTATTGGTTTCTTGGGCTCATTAGACTATTTGATTTTGGGGGTCAATATCTAAAATTCCATCATCATAAAAAACAAACCCACATCATTCAAGAGGCATTAAAAATTAATTATGCATAACACATTTTAATGGTGGTGTCAATTGTGTAGTAAGCAAAGTTATGCAACACAAATTTAGGATCCCAAATGGCATCCCAAAGTAATAGGAATTATCGAATCAATAAGTCCCACTACTATTCATTTGGAATCTAAATGTGGGTTAGGTAGTATTTTTCTTGTGTCATTATGTGTTGATTTTAACAATGTTAGTATTTGA